ACACCAATGTCACCATTTTTCTGAAGATCATGTGTATAGAATAATTTTGATGAAATGTGCTTCGTTCTATCTCCTTTTATAAATCCTCCCTTTTATTGGGCTATGCATACAACATTGTCTTCGTATAAAATTGTGGATCTATTATCACATTCCAAACCATATTTTTCTCGAATGTAATGAATCATTGATCTCAACCATACGCATTCCCTACTTGCTTCATGAATAGCTATTATCTTAGCATGATTTGAAGAAGTAGCAACAATAGATTTCTTTGTGGAGTGCCATGATATGATAGTACCTCCACATGTAAATACATACCCAATCTGAGATCGAGCTTTATGAGAATTTGATAAATAACATACATCTACATAACCAACAAGATCTGCACTACCTTTGTTATCATAAAACAAACCCATATCAAGAGCTCACTTTAAATATCGCAATATATGCTTAATCCCATTCCAATGTCTCCGTGTAGGAAAAGAGCTATATCTTGCTAGTAAATTAACAAAAAATGCTATGTCAGGTCTTATAACATTAGCAAGATACATAAGTGCACTAATTGTACTGAGATAGGGTGTTTCAGGACCAAGGAGTTCCTCATCCTCTTCTGGAGGTCGGAACGGGTCCTTATTCACTTTAAGTGATCGAACAATCATTGGTGTACTCAATGGGTGTGCTTTATCCATGTAAAAGCATTTTAAGACCCTTTTTGTATAGGCAAATTGATGGATAAAGATCACATCTGCTAAATGTTGAATTTGCAGACCAAGACAAAGTTTTATCTTTCCAAGATCTTTCATCTCAAATTCTTTCTTAAGATATTCAATTGCCTTTTGGAGCTCTTCTGGAGTTCCAACAAGATTTATGTCATCAACATAAACATCAAGTATAACAAATTCTGATGCCATTTTCTTTATAAAAATATATGGACAAATAACATCATTTATGTAACCTTCTTTCAACAAATATTTACTAAGGCGATTATACCACATGTGCCCAGATTGCTTTAAACCGTACAAAAATCTTTGTAATCTGATTGAATACATTTTCCGAGATTTTGAATTTGCTTCAGACATTTTAAATCCTTCAGGGATCTTCATATAGAATTAATCAAATGAGTCATATAGGTTATGACTTACATTTAAATGGTATGACATCTTCAGGTGTCCGGACTACAGGTCCGATCCTCACAATCTTTTACAATATTGTGCACTATATTATATCAAATATATCATCGACGATCATTTCGTATTAGTTCGCAAGCGACATAACTTGTTGAGATCTCATCACTTTTTTTTATTTTGAGGCACCTGAACTTCTTATGGAGTTTCATGAAATATTATGTCGTGGGCTTTTCTAGAGCTTATTTCCTCCTTATTATGATCATTTTGATCATTTGCTCCTATTCTTTTCAAGGATTGTTACCTTTGGAATCGATTGGTCTACCACGCTTCATGCGTACAATAAACTCTATCCTTCAGGGACTTTAATTTTAATAGGAGTATTTGCAGCTGAATATGATATTTAATTTTGGATCAGCAAATGCTTCTGGCATTTGACTTGAATTATCTTCTAAGCGAGTATCATATTAATGTTAATTCGATTCATATAGCATATTTTTCAGCTGTTTTATTCCATCCCCCAAATGTTAGAAAAACTAACTCATATCCCCAATCTTCTTTGGGAAACATATCTTTGTGCATTGTGGTAGAGAAATTAATCATATACCACACATCAAAAGTTATTAGATAGTAAAAATATTTGGTTTCTGATCCTAAACCAATTGTGAGGGGATGACTTATCATATTTTGTTGGTCTGATGCATACAGGTGCTGCTGTATGCAATTTAGAAAATCTTAGACTAACACATGAGGCTTTGTTCTCATGAGCAATAGTTTAGCTATTAATATGAGGTATTCAATGCTAAACTAGCTTGGATATAAACCAACATCATCAAGATGAACTATCTTGATTTCATAATCTGAAAATTATGCTTTTAATTGAGAAAGACAATTTCAAATGCCAAACTGCAGGTTGACAATAAACATACATGTAACCATCTTATATATGCATCTATAAGTGGGTCACATGATAGGTGAATTGGCCCATATTCGCCTTTTATATATTTCAGAATTCGGAAATTTTAGTCCCAACTTTAGCTTGTATAATCAAGTTATTATAAGAACAAACAACACAAGAGAATTCTTGAAGAATCTTCTAGTTTTTCAGTATATGCTTATCTGAATACTCAAATATCTCATTTAAAAATGGCAAATGAAAATTTTAAGTTTATCATAGCATGTGCTATCTCTAAGTAAACTTCTGGTTTACTATGGCATAAACTTTTGCATCAGTAAACTTCTGATTTACTGTGGCTACTTTTGTATAAGTAAATTTCTAATTTACTGTGATTGCTTTTGCATTAGTAAACTTCTGGTATATTGTGATACATGATGTAGTACAAATTTGAAGAATAAGGCGTGTAACTTCTCACATACATATTTACCCCATATGATTGTGGAAACATAAAGATTTTTAATCTTTCAATCATTTCTAGTCTCAGTATGATAGTCATATGTATTAGTAAACTTCGATTTATCATAACATATGTTTTGACCACAATAATGACCAATAAGTTCTTTGGGAGCCTTTTATTTATTATACACAATCAAATATTATTCAGACACTACTTTTGTCATGTGTCTTTTAGACAAACAATTAGCTCTTCGGGAGCTTTTGTTGTACTAACAAATATTGCTCAGACACTTCTGGTGTCATGAGAGAAAATCATAATCAAATGAACAATATAAAGCTAATTTTAAATTTATAAATGACAAAAATTAAGAATTTTAATATTTCTACCACTAACTTTGTGACAAATATCTCCTTCAAGGAGAAATATCATTAACATCTGAATATTTTGTATCAATACGGCAACCACATAGTCATTGCATCTTTTAAGGAAAGATACACGAGTTGTTATTTCCTTCAGGGAACTCAATAACTAACCATAATATATTAATATGGTTGTAGTAGAAAGCATTCTACAAGAATACTTTTTCCTTAGAATGATACTTAATAAAATTATCCAAGATATTTTACGTACAACAGGTACGTGCAACAATGATCTTTATGCCACAAAAATAATATTTATATCCTCTGTTATTCTAGCTCTTCCAAGGGTGAATTGTGGTATTTCTTCATTCACTCCAGGGAATGAAAATGTACTTCAAAATAACTTTGAATAACTCATTATTTTATTTACGCACAGAAAGACACAGTTTCATAATGTTTTCCTGCTTCTGGAGACAATTTCAATTGTGTTACTTCATCAGGAGCAAATTAAAATACGAAAAATTGAGTATATATTCTCTCAATCATATTACCTTTTCTGAAGATGAATCGTAATATATCTACATCAATAACGCGCTCATATTTACGGCTTTATTAACATGTCACATTCACTTCAGGGAGTAGATTAATATTTATAAAAATCCTCATCCTTCAGGAAATCGAACATAATTATCTGAACACGCTTTAATCACATCAAATTGTGATGCTTCAACCTCTTTTAAAATATTTACTACTTCAGGAGCAAATTGAGGTGTGCATGTAATATAGAGAATATTTTCCTGGCTTATGTTCATTGTAACCATAGCAAGCCCAAATTATCACTTCTGGTGGTCATAGGCACATACCACTTCTGGTGGTTAACAAAATTTAGTTACAATGAGATATACAAAATGCAATTACTTCTGGTGGTTGTATATTTTTTTTGCAGACTCTACCAGAGTTTAAGTGGGCCTTTTATTGTTATCCATGTGGCAATTACTTCTGGTGGTTGTAAAATTTTTTTTTGCAGACTCTACCGGAGTTTAAGTGGACCTTTTATTGTTATCCACGTGGCAATTCAAATACGCTTCATTACACAAGTAATGATATAATATTAAAGGACAAGGCTGCCAAAGCGTAAATGAAATCTGAAAAATTAATTAGAGAAGTAAATAGTGATGGCTATATATATCTTGGTGCTATAGTCCTTGTACGGGTATCATCCTTCTTAATCATTAGCCATATGTATTGATTGCAGCTCTATCTCAAGATGCAATATTGCTCACATGGATAAAATAAAATTGTTAGAGCATCATAATATTTGTAGTTAATAATAGTTGTCCATACAGAAAATACTTAACATGCGAAAGCAAGATTAGAAACGAACCTTGTTCAAAGTTCTAGGTACATCTACCTAAGGCAGCTTTGGCTTCCATCGTATTTTGCTTTAAATTATGTCAAGTTAGAGATAACTATACATTCAAACATAGAGACTCATAATGATAACATGTTATAAAATAAAGACTATAAAAGAAATAAACTGAAGACAAGTATAGAGAGAGATTGATATTTTATTCAACTTTCAAACTGATATATATAACGAACTGAAAACTCCTCTATTTATAGAAGAAAGGAAGCAACTGCGTGACTTTTCAGGAAGCAACTGCGAGACTTTTCAGGAAGCAGCTGCGAGGCTTTTCTTCAGCTGCTTGTAAGTTGTCTGCATGAGCTGCTCGTAACCTGTCTGTTTAATAAGAAGTTGCTGCAAATCATTTTATTGAGTTGCTTGCAACCTACGTGCATCAACTGCTTGTAGATAAACTTCAACAGAGTACTAAATGGATAATCTTCTTTAGAAAAATTATCTATAGCGGAGTAATAAATTGACATCCACAAATAATAGTTTCATAACACAAATTAGTTATTTCGCTAGTTACTATAAAATATAAATTAAAATTAATCAAGGTTAATTAATAAATGCTGTATAAAAGACATAAGGCTTGCTTTTTTGGGTTCGAGTGCGGACACATTTTACTTAAAAACACTTGGCATAAAACGACAACGTTTGGGTCTATACTGAACAGCACAAAGGACCAATCACACAAATACACACCCGACCGAATCACTCAGTCTTCTCTCACACACTTCCTTTCACCTGGCCAACGATGCCGTCCGCGAAACCCTTCGCGACCGCCGCCGGTATGCTACGAACCCGTCTTAGTTCGGGCCTCCGAACAAGAGGAAGTCACGGCCCGAACCCGTTTACTACTGCGGGTCACCAAGATCGGCCCAACGGATACCTATTCAATCGGGTCCCACCACTACCTGGACAATCCCGGAAATGGGAGGATTGGGAACTCCCTTGCTACATCACCAGCTTTTTCACTATCGTCATCCTCGGTGTGGGCCTCAACGCTAAGCCCGATCTCACACTTGAAACTTGGGCCCATCAAGAAGCCCTAAAACGCCTCGAACTTGAATCATCTTCTGCTCAAATCCAATCCATTGATGAATGAATCTGTGGATCATTTTTGGGTATGGTTTTTGAATTTCAATCCCTTTTTTGGATTGTCAAATTAGGGGTGTTCGATAAATTGGGGAAAATTTATCCTTGTTGATAGTTTGTGGTTTTTAGAGAGTTGGAAAATAAATGTTATGACTTTCAAACTTTGACCTGAAATTTGAGCTTACTGTTTTATGTTCCATTTTAATGACAATGGTTGATTATGTTATTCTTTTTTCATTTTCACCTGTTGATGTGTAATTTCTTGCTTTATATTTTGTGTTTAATACAGTACGTTATAATTGGATAGTGGTACGTGATTAACAGCTTAGTATTTTATTTTTATTTTATAAGTATTAAGTAGCAGCTTAGCTTGTGTGTGTATTTGAGAAGCTTCAAGTGTGATGGTTGTGTTCGGATAAGTTAAATATGGGTTATGGCATTCAATTAAACAATTATGCCTCAATTCCGAACTGGTTGGATGTCCGCTATAAATATGCCTGTTGCATTTAGAGCAAAAGTACTTGCTTAGAGCAAAACGAATTGTGGGATAACAACAGGCTACATGAGTTTGCTACTTGTTCGTCCCTTGACTGTGGTCTAGCACTAGGCAAGAAAACTTTATTAAGGTTCATTCTCTAGAGATAGAGGGGGCAGGGGCAGGGGCAAGGGCAAGGGCAAAGCACCTAGGAAGTAATCTTGTCTGTTGAAGTAATGGAACTTATTTTCAAGTGTTCTAATTGCATATTCTAGCTACTTGAGATAAGTTTTTATTAGAAGTTATCTTGCCTTTATAGGTTGATCTTTCTTTCCGTGGTAACCCCGTATTCTTTAGTGTTCTAATGACTAGGTATAGCTACATACTTCTTGAGATACCATGCTTTTAAGAAGTAATCTCGCCTTTCTAGATTTCAGGTTAGAATGCTTAACTTGAGTCCTTGTGTTCTAAGTTAGAAAATTGTTTGAGCTTAAGGTTGCTTGGTCTGTTGGATGTGTGAGTGAAGGTGTGTGCAAGTGGTGGGGTTAACTGTGAGTCTTACCACTTGCCCATCCATCGGTTTGTGCGCAAGGACAATGTCTTGGAACATAGAGTTATTAAAGAGTTGGGCGACTTGCACATTAAAGTTAGTGAGATGGCGGTGACATATTTTCACATGTGTAGCAACAAGCAAAATTGTTCCCTTCTATTCTTGTAGGGAATCTATGAATTCTAATATAAGCCCAGCATCACTCACTAGCTCCACCAAAAGTCTTAAAAAAAAGAATACAATTAAACTTGACGTTCTGACTGTGGTTGGCAATGTCTTCAGAACATCTTCTGTTTCTCTCTGTCCATAGTCCACCAGATGCAGGCTGTGTGGAGTTCACCATTTTGCCTTGTTTTTTCCCATCTCCTCTCTTCCAGCATCATAGCAGTTCTTGTGGTGACCTTGGCATCACCCATCTGATATTCAGCAAATTAGAAAAAAACTTGCCACAACTGGTTTGTGTGTTTTGTGAGATTTTTGTTGCTTTAATTTTCCTTAGTAAGGTGAGATTGCTTTCTTTTTTGATAAGGTGAGATTTTGTTGCTTTTATATGTTTTATAAAGTTGGTTAATTCTATGGGGCAAAGAGCTCTGTTAGTTGTGGATTTCAATAAGTTTGAGAACAATCTTGGTGGCTACTGGCTAGGATGTGTGGCTCTTACTTTGTTCTTAATTAAAACAGTTGCTAATGCTTCAGTGGACTTGATTGTTGGATAAAAGGGCCAAGCTCATGCGAAGGATAGGCTCACACACTACATGTTAAGGAGTTAGGTTCACCCTGTGGGTCTAGTAAGTTAAGGAGTGTGTGCAACCATGCATTAATGGTTTTCACCCTATTTTCTCAAATCTCTCGACAATTTGATTAGGTAATGAGATATTACATTATTGAATAAAGGAGTAGTACAAAAGGGTTACACATTTGAAATTTCCTTTCGCAGTTCTTGATAAAAGAGGGGGAATTCAACCAGATTCTCCGCATTGTATATGCATCTTTCAGTTTGTCCCCGTTCCTTTTGGTCAATATCACTCTTAGGATACATACTACTTACTAGAGTGGTGATCCATGTGGCCTTGAGTTGTTTCAGTGAAGTGATTCCTCTTTGCTCTGATGGGATCTGGTTCGTCAATTACATGGCTATATTTGGCCAGTTTTTCTGATAGATTCGTGATGCTGACCATCTCCAGATCAATTTCAATTCCATCCGAGTATTTTCCATATATTCCTGTNCCACCCCCCCGGTCCCTTGTGTATTTCCATCAGCAAACTCCATAAGGGGTGATGATCTTGTTCAGACTTAAATATACAATGTCAATCTGTACAGAAGGCTTTTGTATTGGAGCTTTAAGTTTGTTACTCCTAACTAGAATACGAGGACTTCTGGCATATAACGAAGTTAATATACGTGGAAACGTTTAATGGATCAGAATTTCTCCCTTATCAAATCACTCACGAGAAAGATCTGTGCTGCAAGGCCAGCTTGAATTTTATGTCGTTCATATGCGCTAAACAACCTCTCAAAGTGCGATTATGCTTATTTCATTGCTTAGCCGAGAGAGTGTGGACTGGGTTTTATCTTCTGTTGAACTGACAAAAAGAACTAGTTCAGTTTCTTTCATTTAATTTTGGGGTTGAAGAAAAAGTGGAAATGACTTCAGGTAGCCACTTTTTTCCACTTTTAAGTTTTAAGCATATTGTTTAAAGTATATTCATAGTTTAAACTTTAGGATACGGCGTCCTAGATTTTAAATCTCAAAATTTAAACTTTTGAATATTGTGTCCTAAATTTGAAAATTGTGTCTAAAAATTCGAACCATCTCCAAAAAGGCATTTTATGTTTGTATGCTTCTATGTTCTATCCAATAAGTAGTATAGTACAACGTGACTTCGTCACTATTCTAGAATCTTCTCATGATACATATCAAACATTTCCTTTCTCAAAATAAAGAGGCCAATGACTTCATTTATTACCCTCTTACGAGGTGCAGGGCATATGGCAAATATCATTAAAAAACGAGACCAGAAATATAGTAACTTAATCCACAAAATGCATTCGGATTATCTCGTGCTAATTTCAATTACTATGCTAGGGAACATTGTGAAAGAACAAATTCGATCCCTTAGGATATGAGAAGCAAATTTGCTCTTTTTAAATTTCCCACATACATAAAGTTTTCATTGACAAATAAAGTATTTGATCTGACAATTATCATAAGCCTTATTAGCAATAAAGGCCTAAAAGTGCACCTAGTTTCAGAAACATATCCTTACAACAGAACAAAGTTTGCTATTTATGGACACAACTGAACTACAGCTGAAGAATAAACAGTAAACTATTCATGGCAATTAGTATATAAGACTAGACAAGCAATACTAGGTAGAAGAGAGGGTGGTTTAACCACATCTTTCTTAGCAGACAAATGGTTCATGTTGTTTCTCTTAGAACATGGAATAAGCAAGTTCTCATGGCATAAGCAAGCTAACATCTTTAGTAAATACATTTTGAAACCAAAAAGATGGTGAGCAATAGATAAACTAATATGATTACGAGGTTGTAACATGATAACTGAAAAAGGAAAAACTCGAACTTCATCTTTTGAATTGGGACAGTGTGACTAATACTAAAGAGAATTGAGGTATTGGTGTTAGATAAGTAAACACCAAAAATTTGGTTTTGCTGACTAGCATTGCTTTGAGACTTTTCAGCAATCCCACACAGCTATGGCCTCAAATTCTCATCAATAAATATTGAAACAGAAGCAGACAGCGTGGGGGTTAGTACAATTATTCGAGAATGGATCATATAAGCTTATAACAATATTATTCTTGTGAGTTGAGCTGATTCCAGTCACAGCTCAACCTCCATTAATGGAGGTTCAAACGAGTTAGCTGAGTTTAGGAGAAGATGAACATTGGAGAGAGAATAATTTGTGTGGAACTTTCTAGTATATTGAATATTGTATTACAAAATCAGATATACATCATATATATATACACACACAATTGCTAGACTTCTACTAAGTTAATCCATAATCAATTAATGCCAACTAACTATAACTACCCTAACTAACTGGTGACAACTGCTAACTGTCTTGCCCAACTGTCATACTACCTCCTATTCTCACACCCCCTCAAGCTGGAGGGTGTAAAATGTTAAGCACTCCAAGCTTGCTCAACAAATATTCATGCTATATTCTCCCAAGTCCTTTAGTCAATAGATCTGCCTGCTGCTCCTTTGTCCCTATGTAATGAGTCTTGATCTTGCCATCTTTAATCTTATCTCTCACAAAGTGGCAATCAATCTCTATATGATTAGTCCTCTCGTGAAATGTGGGATTGGCTACAATATGTAGGGCTGCCTTATGGTCACAAAACACACTCACAGGCTGCTCATTTGAAATGCCAAGTTCTGTGAACAACCCAAGTAGCCAAACTATTTCTGCAGTAGCTATTACAAGACTTCTATACTCTGCTTCTGCTGAGCTTCTAGATATTGTCTGTTACTTCTTTGACTTCCATGACACCAATGATTCCCCAAACTTCACAAAGAAACCAGTTACTGACCTTCTGGTATTAGGACATGCAGTCCAGTCTGCATCACAAAAGCAAATTAGATTGTTTGCACTTTTACTGCTCAGTAGAATTCCCATTCCTAGATTCAGTTTGATATACCTTACAACTCTTATTGGTGCTTCCCAGTGAGACTACTTGGGTGACTGCATAAATTAACTAAGTGTTTGCACATCAAATATTATATATGGCCTTGTGATAGTCAGATATATTAACATCCCAATCAATCTATGATAACATGCAACATATTTCATCAATTTGTCTCCAGATACCCCAACATGTGCATCAAATTCTACTGAAGTAAACTTTTGATTCATATCTATTGAAGTGGCTACTGGTTTAGTAGCTCCCAACTCTAAATCAGAAATTAATTGCAAGGCATACTTCCTTTGATTTAGTAAGATCTCTTTGTTGGATC